ATAATTACATTCAAGAACAGTAAGGAAAAGAGAGAGAACAGTTTTCTTTATTCTCACTGATTTCTCTTTTGCAGATTTAATAAATTCCAATTTTCTTCATGGATCAAGGTATGTTACTTGATCAAATTACTCATACGTGAAAATCATAGAATTCCAAGATCTAGGCATTAAAGTATGAATTAATTGCTTACATCTAAAACGTTTCAACCTCTTTGTTTCATCCCATGTACCTTTGGCCCAAGAGTAATGCTATTTACAGTCTAAGATTACAATAGTGGAAGCTCGTTATTTGAGGCATTAATTTTCTATAATTCTATTGGCTCGATAACAAGCTAATGCATCAAATAATTAGTTGCCCTGTGAATAGCATTACTCTTGGGTACCGTGGGTAGGAGGATTAGGCACAGAACGGGTACACGTTTCAAGTGTCCCTCACCATAAAATTTGCTGAAAGATGATGCAAAGGAATGAAAATCTATGTTTCGTTTAGCTATAAGGTGTTTCTCTTGCATTCAACAACTAGACAACGCACTACTTGTAAAAACTATCGGAGCTCAAAAGCTGGAAACAACACTGAAATAAAATTGAAATAAAGAACGAAAAATTCAAATATGTGCAAAAACCAGTAAAACACAATCAAATTTCAATCCATATATTGTTGACGTATAAATAGAAATAATGAAATCAACCAAAATCCCGAACAGAACGATTACAGAGCTGTCGCTTACAAAATATTGGTAAAAGGATTTTTGAAACTAAACTGGCATAAAGATCGGGTTGGGAACAAAATCAACAAGTATAATCATTGCAATTTAATGGTAAAAAATGTTAATTTAAATCTTATAAGAAATGAAATTCCAAACCTTGAATTTATTGAACGTGTTCGATCCGTTTGACCACAGCCGAATGGTGAACTTCACAGGTCCAATTGAGTGGTGTGTACAACGGAACGCGGGTAAAAAATAAAAAAATAAAAATGTGTTGCCCTAAATAACAACCTTGGAGCTTTACAGGTTAATTCAGTTAACTATCCCAATAATCACTTAACTCATATCTTTATTTCTGTTGTCCACTGAAGTTTAAAATATTGAGTTTTGGCCACTTAACTTATTTAAACGTTGAACGTTACTTATTGACAAAACATTGATTTCAAATTTCTAACTAAAATTAGTGACATGGCTAACAAAATGCACGCGTTGCATCCCGTCACGCGTTATCAAATTCTCACATAAGAAAGTATCTTTCATTTCTCATTAAATTTTGGAAACTTTGAGGTGGTCAATTTTTTGTCACTAAACTTATAAAAATTCAAATTTATTGTGTGTTTACTTATTGAAATTAAATTTAATTATTGTGTAATTGAATCATCATTTCTCGTGCGATCGATATCTCGAACTCGTTTGTTCAATTTATTACTTGTATGTGACATGTGCGCTTGTGGTATACAGTTTTTAACGAACAACAGGTCAATGCCAATTTTTTAAATTTAGTGACCAAAATCCGACACTCTCAAAGTCTAGCAAACAATCTAAAGTATAGTGATCTATCAAAGACTTTTTTAAAGTTTAGTAAGCAATGAAATACGTTTTCTTAGTGGTACTTTGTTAACGGTGTAACAGAGATCTGCATGTACATTTTATTAGTCACGTTATCAATTTCATTAGAGGTGTGAAACGGATGTTATAACAATGAGTAACATCTAACTCTCAGATAAGCTTAGTATCCAAAACTTGACATTTTTAAATTTCAGTAAACAATCGAAGACACATATATAAGTTCAATGATTATTGGGACAATTAACTTGACTTCAGAAGATTTTTACATTTTTTTTTTAATTCATGCATTTTCAGAAGTTATGAATTTGTTTGAAGAATTTTATTTAAAATAAAATTCACTTCTAACACAAGGAAATTTACACATAGGATGTGGAGGTTGGATTCACTCTCTCTATCGTTATCCTTCCCCAATGTTTGTTAGCTTTTGTGTCCCAAATTAAGACGAATTTTTTGAAAAATATTGTTTCCTAATTTTCACAAGATTGTATTGGAAAAATATTATTTTCTTAATTCAACATTATTTTTTATATTATTTTCATCTTTATGGTATGATATTTACTTATAAATAGTGACATCTTTATTCAATTTTATTTAAGCAAAATTTGCTGTATTGAAATTTTCTCTCCACATTATTATAATAAAACACCGTTTCCTTTGCTTAATTCTCGTTTATTTTTTACTTTTAACCTTATTTCATTGTTGTGATCTTCTTTCCTTCATATTGCTCCATTAAATCTCAATTCTTACAACCCTTTGGGATCAACAAGTGTTATCAGAGTAATTTTGATAACTTGTTTGTTCCCAACAAGTGGTATCAGAGTTAGGTTGTAGGTTCTTCATGATTTGATTGGGATTTTTCAAAGATGACTACATTGAAGTATGATATTCGCTACTGAATCGCAATACGAGATTTTCGCCGTGGCAAGTAAGGATGAGGGCTGTGTTGGCTCAGATGGATTTAGACTATGCTTTGTTGGGTTTTGATAAGATGCCAGCAAATTTGACAGCAAAGGAGAAACAACGGAAAGACGGGAAGGTTCTATCGCAAATTCATCTTCGCCTTTCCAATAACATTTGCATGATGTATTGAAGGAGAAAGTGGGGACTACTTTATGGTTAAAACTGGAGCAATTGTGCATGACCAAAAGTCTTACGAACAAACTGCATCTAAAGCAAAGGCTGTATTCCCATTGTATAGTGGAAGGAGGATCATTGGAAGACTACCTTGCTGTATTCAAAGAAATCGTCGCGAATTTTTGAAATATTGGAGGTCAAGTAAGATGAGTAGGATCTGGCCTTGATCCTGTTGTGTTCATTGCCTGTTTTTTACTCATTGTTTTGGGACACAATATTGTATAGTAGTGACACGCTTACCATTAAAGAAGCTTACAATGCTTTATTCTCAAAAAAGAAGATGAATCACTTGGTTGGAGCTACATCTAAGGATGAGGAAGTTGTGGTATCTCATGGTGATTGACAAAGGAATAGAACGAAAGTAAACTTCAACAATCAATTTTGCCTCTACTGTAGGAGGAAATGACATGTCATGAAAGATTGCGACAATTTGCAAGCTAGAAGTAATTTAGCTGCAAATCATGCGAGGTAATCAGATAATTCGGATGTTGCCAAGGACTTTTCGGATGGCAGAGTTGTGGTTTTCTGCTATAGGGTGTGCTTTGACCCTATTTGGATAATTTTAATTCCAAGTTGAATTTTTGGGAACCCATGAATAGGGTTTGGGTGCCGCTTGTAGACGCCGGGAAGAGGATGGTGTTTTTCGTGAGGTAGAGAGTTTTGGTTACTGTTTGAGGAGCTTGATTATTTGGATGCAGCTGACATATTTTTCCAAATTGAGAAATTTTGAAGTTTTATTCGTTGCACCGAGATTTGGGTTAAAGTGGAGATGTTAGTTTTGTGCCCCAAATTAGGGTGAATTTTTTTGAAAAATATTGTTTCCTTATTTTCACGTGATTTTATTGGAAAAATATTATTTTCTTAATTCCATATTATTTTTTATATTATTTCATCTTTATGGTATGATATGTACCTATAAATAGTGGCATCTTTATTCAATTTTATTTAAGCAAAAATTGTTGTGTTGTAAATTTCTCTCCATATTTATGTAATAAAACATTGTTTCCTCTACTTAACTCTCGTTTATTTCTTTACTTTAAACCTTGTTTCAATGTTGTGATCTTCGTTGCTTCATATTGATCCATTAAATCTCAGTTCTTACAACCCTTTGGGATCAACAATGTTATCCAAATGGGTCGTGCTACACGAACATAGGGGTTGGTACAACGGTTGACATAGCACACACATGAGGAGGTCGACATTATTTTATTCGCTGTGATCCACACCTCGGTTGTGAGTGTGTTGTCATCTTTTATGTCAAACATTATGTTCGTTTAATATTTTCCTATCCAAATATAATTTAAATTTTTTTTTAATGAAAGTCACCTTAATTAGATAAATAAATAATTAACATATATAAATATATAAATAATATTTCAGTATTCTTTGTTAAAAAAAAATATTTGATATCCAATATTATCAATATGTCATACTTTCAAAAAGTAAACAATCAATTAATATATTTAAAGAATGAAATCTTATAAAATTTAATTACAAATTGATCTTTTACATTAAAAAAATTGTGAAAAATGAAAAAAAAAATAGAATAAGAATTTTTTTATAATTTTATTTTTTTCTGTAGAAAATGAGAAGAAACAATTAAAAAGAGTAAAAATATAAGCAGTAGAAGAAAAATAATAATTTTTAATCATGATTCCAATGTTTGTAGAAGAAAAGAGAAATAATGAAAGGACAAAAAATAAAAAAACTAAAAACTTTTTGTACTTTCTACTTAAAAAAGTTAATTCCTTAAAATCATTGATACTTTTTACACGTAGTTTTAATTGAATGCATATCAATACTTTTAAAGAATTTTAAAAAGTCTATATTAAAATTTCCTAAACTTTATAAATCGACTTGCCTAAAATGTTTAATATTAATCACATGCAATTTTTTTGACCAATTGATTCGTAAAAATGAAACACACATTAGAATTCACTTAATCAATAACACTATTTGTCATGGATGAATACACCTAGATAAAATGAGCGAACGTAAAACAAATAAGCCACTTCGATTGAGGCATAAAATGAAATTTCTCCTACTACTTCACATATAGATACATGTGTTATTCCAAATCTAATGTATGGTAAAACAAATCTTCTAATTAATTTTTTTTTTTTTTTGACCTTTTTTTGTACGATTCTAATTCAATCATCACATAGAAAAAATCATCCTCTTAGGACATGGTCGGGCTCACCAAACGTGTCTTGTTAATAAAAGAAAGGATTATTTACAAACAAATCGCTGTCAATTTCATTTAATAATAATTATAAGCAGATGAAGCCAAGCCAGTACTTACCACGATTTTATTGTATTTTCTTACAAGGCACATGCCTCTCAATTCTAGGCAAGTTTTTTAAGCCAACGGAGCAAAACCCGACAAACATGGTGTATGTACATGAAAAGTAGGAACTCGGAGATTACCAGAAGCCAATAGCTCCTTTCAGTTTCAGATTCAAGTGTGTGTGAGAGATAGAGAGAGAAGAGCACCCAGGAACAACCATGGCGGCCGTAAGAGGTAGGCGGCTGCTGGTGTCGGATTTCTTGATGTCTTTCATGTGGGTTTGGTCCAGTGTGCTCATTAAGATTTTTGTTTATAAAATATTGGATTATGGCTCCCATGATATGAAGGGTGAAATTTTGAGGTATGGAATCTCCATTGTCAACATGTTCTTCTTTGCATTCTTGGCCAAAGCTACCAAGGGTGGGGCCTACAACCCCCTCACCGTCTTGTCCTCGGCCATTTCTGGGAATTTCAGCAATTTCCTCTTCACTGTCGGGGCCAGAATTCCTGTCCAGGTTCGCTAGATACAATTGTTTTAAAATCTTGTTCTTTAATTATCATGTCACCGTTTGTTTTAGGAAATATTGACAGTTTCTTTTGTGAGGGACATTGAATTAGAGAAGTTAGATTGATGGTTCTTCTCTTTATTTTAGGACTTCATGTTTTTGGGTTAATCGTAAATTTGATTAGGGCCTGCATCTTAAATCAATCTGGGAGTTTCAGTAAATACGTTCTATTGATTATTTGGCAAGTGAATTGATAGATAATCTGAAACCATATACATGGTAGGCTTAGTGAAAGCAGCAATTTCAATGATTGTCACATGTTATTGGAATATCTTAAGAATCATTCAAAAATCGAAGAAATGATCAAAACAAAATGATTTTTGAATTGTATTCCAGAAAAATTTTATTCACAAATAAAACTATATCTCGTTATCTTGGCAAATTATTTGAGGCTAATTATATATCTGCATGTAGGACTTTCTTTCTTATCCAAGATTCCCCCAATTCGACATCTTTCTCAAATATCAACTATAAAAAATTCTTTCCCCACTTACTTTGTGTTCCAATATCTATACTTATTTAGAGAGTTTCCCTTTTTCCCATTTTGTTAATGCTGACACGATGAATGGATCGTTGTTCTCCAGAAAAACCCTCAGACAGGTTGTGAAGAGGAATGACATGGTGTTCTTAAAATAAGTGTTCCAAAACTCATAGTTTGTTCATAATCATCATCTGGAAGTTGAGTTAAGATGGTTTAGTTGTGTACTGGAGCTTATCCTTGTTCTTCCATTTCTTTTTCAAAGGTCTTGGGGTCTATTTATGGGGTCAGGCTCATTCTTGCGGCATTTCCAGAAATAGGACGTGGGCCACGTCTGAATGTTGACATAACTCGAGGTGCATTGACTGAAGGGTTTTTGACGTTTGGAATTGTAATTATATCCCAAGGGCTCTCGAGAAAACTTCCTGGAAGTTTCTTCATGAAGACTTGGATCTCAAGCGTCTCGAAGCTCACTCTTCACATGCTTGGCTCTGATCTGACTGGAGGATGCATGAATCCGGCATCTGTAAGTACTTATATTCAGTCTAAATGTAATCTATGCTTACTGCGGAATTGTGTTGGATACATTACACTTGAATGAACATCGAGTAAATTCTAATTGCGTCCCTCAGGTAATGGGGTGGGCTTTTACACGCGGGGAACATATAAGCAAGGAACATTTAATTGTATACTGGCTTGCTCCTATGGAGGCGACTTTGGCAGCAGTGTGGGCATTTAGAGTTGTAGTTCGACCCGAGAATGATAAGACACCTAAGGTGAAGTCCGGAAAATCAGAATGAAAGGACAATGGATCAACTGTGTGTATATTAGAATTGTGGGTATTTTGATGCAATTAACATGTAAAATTGGCTTGCAGAAAGATGTATACATTGCTGTTTTGGGTGGGTAGGTTCAATGCAATTGTAATTCTCCTAATGTCTCTCTCTCTCTTACACACCACACACGCACGCACGCACAAATCTGTGTATATACATAGGGGGCTTGGGATGAATGATTCGATCAATTCCAGAGATTCTGGGTTCATTCATCCATGTGCAACATATCGTGCCATTCACAGAATTTGTCACAAATCTGATGTGGTCATGTCACTTGGCACAAACACATTCTAGCATTACTGAAAGAATTAATCTAGAAGTACATTCCTAGATAACATTGTTGTTGATATTGTGTGAGTTGTCAAAATATGAGCCATTGATTGTTTTAAGTATTGTTAAAATCAATGTATAAAAAACTGCCAACTTATGAGAATGTCATCCATGAAGTCAAAGTTAATGTAAATGTAGCAAGATTGAGAAAGAAAGTGGAAGGAGAATACTCTCAGTGCATTACAAATGCTTCCACAGTATCATCCAACTATCCTTGTAAGTACAATAAGCAGATTGCTCTGTGAAATTGAGAATTGAATACAGGCTTTGACAGGATAAATCAGTAAACAAGCTGCGTTTCAAACTCTACAAAATCAACAGAACCAGATTCAATGGGTTTCATGAGATATGCAGCCAATAGCTCAGAAGCCAGAGCCGAAATGAGTGGTATCCTCTTCAAGTTCTTCACCAAGGGAATGTCTCAATTCTGTCCCACTGCAATCAGTTGCTCGTTGATCTCCACCATTCGATCTAATTTCCTCTTGAATTCCGGGTTCTCAACATCCGGCACAGCTGGAAAATTCTAGCTGTTGTGCGGTTTGTCTTGGGAAAAACAAAAACAAGTTTTAGCATGAACTCAAATCTTTTAGGGTGTTGATCATATGGCTTGGACTGAAGATTCAAACTTAACGAACATTTGAGATGTAATAATGGAAACAATTAAAATGATACCATCTAATGAAATATGATAATTGCAGTTTGAATAAGTTTTCTTTGAATTTATATAACATTAAATGACAAAATGAAGCATCAGACTAAATACCATTAGTATGTTCTACATTTCTTTCCCATTTTTTTTTTCTAGTTCGTTGACATGAACCTCAAAGACCGAGAATTGGCAATTGAACGAAGCGACACGAAATATTTACGAAACTCTGGCTAAGAAACAGAAGAAAAATGACTTTTGCCAATGGAATAATGCAGAAGAGAAATAAGGACAAACTCTCACCTCAATAATGACATGCATGTCAAATTCTTTAGTGTTTAGCCCAATGCCTTTTAGAGCTGTTCTTTGGCAGTCATTAAGGTACATTGTCACATAAACCTGCATTTTGTTGTCAAGATTTAGAGAGGATTACAGATTAAGGATTGAGAATATCTGTTTTGTCCACTCAATTTAACAAGCAATATGATTTGCAAAAGAAAACGTCTAGACTTATAATTACCGAGAGGCAGAAGAAGCGTGCCCACAGTTTTGCCTTCCAGTTGTTCGGGAACTGAGGCTGTGCCTTCATCATAGCCGAGAAGAAATCACCGTGGTGATTCTCGTCGTGGCACCAGTTTTCAGAGTACTTGAAAATTGGATAGCACTGGTAATCTGGATTCTCCTTGAGATGCCTGTATATTGTTATGTATCTCCAGTATCCAATCTTCTCCGACAAATAAGTTGCATAGAAAATGAACTTGGGCTTGAAAATGTGTATTTTCTTGCCTTTGTAAGGAAACCCAAGTCGAGTGCCAAATTGAAGTCGGATAAACCCTTATTCAAGAACCTGCAAGAATCCATCATAACCCTGACTTAACTCATAAACTACAACTTGAACTATGTGGTGAAGATGTTTGATTCAGAGAAAGAAAAAGAAAGAAAAATTAAATACAAGCATACCCTGCATGGCGAGCTTCATCCTTCTACATAAGTTAGAAAATCTCAGCTACTACAGGGTCAGTTTTCTGCATAAGCAATTCTCATACAAGTTATTAAAACAAAGTTAAATAAAGCAGAGACATAACTACTTGCAGTATCAAATTCTGAAATTCCTATTAACGTAATAGGGAAACAACAATGCAATTATTGGCAAGACTTGACGGGCAGCAGAAATTAGACGCAATTAGATAGAAGGAAATGCAGGAAATAGGACAAACGAAATTTGGTTAGTAAAAGAGCAAAAGAAAATAGATTGCCACGAGTGTTTTACAACTAAAATATTCACTGAAAAGGGAATAACTCGATCATAGAAAACAAGTTAGCCACATTGATAATCTCTTTCGAAATTCGCAATAAATTTGTATAAACAAATTGAAGTTCAAAGAAAACTAAAGCAGATAAACTATTGAAGTAACCAAATTTTAATAACTTATTTACTTATTAGTGAACTTACTTAAGCAGACGTCTTTTAAGCGTAGCCAAACAAGAGATTCTATAATTAGGGCACATAGAAATACAAAAGTGTGAAATTCTAATTGTAATAGTAACCCCAATAATATATGAATCTCAAGTACTTGTATAAATATTTTCTTCAAGTTGAAAGTGCTGATATATGGTGAAAAAAAAAACACATATAATATGTCTAATAAACAACACTTGGAGACCCAATTTCAAGTTCATTCTGCGAAATTAGCCTCATATTCAGCATAATGACTATATTAGAAGAACCCATAAATTATAGCAAGAGTTGAAAGGAAACAGAAAAATGTCAGACCTTGAGCCTTCTCCCAAGCTCCTTGTAGAGAAGGAACCCAGAGAAAGATGCAAGACCTCTCGAAGTACTCCACAAAAATCTGACTCAAAGGACCCTCCATTTTATCGGCAGCCTCGAATTCCTTGTTCCTTACAAAGGGAGGCTGGCTGAAATCGGTCTTGAATTCCTGCAATAAAGCCTCAAACTCAGCCATGTTCAGATTCTTGTTGATTTCCGTGTTAAAAAGCAGCTCCATTTCATCAAAGTCTGTGGTGTAGAATCTTGGAGTCAGCAGGGTTTCGTTTATTTCTTGTTTTCCAGCCTTCTTCTTTTTGGATACAGTTGCTGCCCGAGACTGGACGGTGGGTAACATTTTGATGGTGAAAAATCGGGTGCATGGCAATCGGTAGTTCCCAGTTCTTGGGATAATGGAGCTGAATTTTGATATGGGTTTAACTAAGGCCATCTCTACTGCCATTTTTGGGGCAAATTCTGCAGCAGAAAAACAACGAACTGATGGTACTGTTCTTGCTCTGGTAGAAAAGAACTAACAACGTGGGGAGAGATAAGATAATGGGGCCGGGGGAAGGGCGAGGGTCGGGGTGGGGTATCTATATGTAACTTGGATGAAAGTGATTGAATCTAATCTCATCCAATTAAATCTACGAAACTAAGTGGGAGTTTGACACATGGCAATACAGTGGGACCCTAGTAATTGCTAGGTTTGTTTTGTGTTTTTAGTACGTTGGGTTATGATACCAATAAATCTCGAATAATGATATTAAACAATGTCGAATTATATTTTATAAGTCGAGATCGATGAGTTAAATATTTATCAATCAATCAACTTATATACTTGACCCAGAAACAACGTGGGCCATTAGTTGCAACTTGATTGGTTTTAATGTTATCTTGACCCAAGTTCACTTATAGGATGACTTCCTTGTATCTTGATCCATTACTTTGTGTTTTGGCCCAATCTTTATATCTTGGTCCAAATTGAATTTATACCTAAAGCTATATATAGCTCCCATACTTTGAGAGAGAGTGGGTATTTTGCTTATGTTTGAGAAGAGAACAAAAAATCGATTGTCTCCTTTGTGGTCTCCTTCAAGCCTTTGTTCTTTTGTCTTCTCTTTGCCTTTGTGGCTTACAAATACCACCATATTATTGTCCCTTTCTGGGTGAGAAAAGAAAATGCAACCATAAGTGGATTGAAGTTGTTTGTGATTTGGTTCATTGGTTGATTGGTAAGTTTGATATGAGCCCGGAATTCTACCATTTGGAGGTCGATTCTTCAACATGGTACATGGGAAGCCATTTCAAAATAGTGTTGTCAAAATAGATCGAATCAAGCTTGGATCAATTCACTAAACAAATAAATAAATGAAAGAGAACAACGTAGCACTCTTTAGGACTGCCTCGGCTCAACCATGAACCATCTTGGGCGAACCTCGCGGAAAGTGATGAACTGGGCTTGACCCCCCAGCACATTCCAAAATCCATGGCTGATATTTCTATTTTCTTGGCATTTGATTTGATTTTTATTTATTTATTTATTTATTTATTTTTTTAAAGAAAAACTAGGATTAAGATTTAGGACCAATTCATTCAAGAACCCCACAAGAAAATGGCATTTTTAGAAGCAATTTAAGAGAAGACAATGAACCTGAAATTTACTGCAGATTCTATGATTTTGTTCCTATACAAATATCTGATGCTCTATTAAGCTCCTGTAAATTCCCCTGGATACATAATTTCAAGTCGAAAATTTCATGCACATCAGTTGTTGATAATAAAGATAATCATTATAAACTAAAGATAGCTTGGGCAATGCGACTATTCAAATGCCATCTCTACAAACAGATTGCAAGTAGCTCGAAGGATGCTATGGTGAGTACATATTCATCGCCCGAAAGATTGATAATGGATCTAAATTATATTCATACAAACAATCTGTCAATCTGAGTTTCTAGTATCATACTTTTCCTAACAAATTTGTAATGAAATCTGAACTTTGAAGAGAAAAAGAAAATGTAAGATAAAAGCGGTGAACAACAAAAGAACTATGTATCAAACCCATCTATTTTCACTTTTTCAGGATCTATCATTCTACAAGATCTTGTATTATTTTCGTATATTCGCCCTCCAAATTTGGAACTTCTGCTTACAGATTGTATCTAGAATTCTGAAGCCAGCAAGAATCTCATTTATCTACTAGTTCAAACAACATGAAAACCTCTACATTTTGAGAACTTCCAGTCCTGCTACCAGACATAGCCATCTTCTTAAGCATGCATCCAAATCTTTGAGGGGGGTAAGGGAACTGATTTCTCCTTTTATCAAACCTGTCAAGTGATATGTACTCTTCTGATTTCAAATAAAATGACACTTAAATACGATATAATCAATAGCATTGACTTCTTCACCCAATACATGGTTGAAACTTGAATTAATCTCATGAGAAGAATCATCAGCATCAATGCAGTAAAACAATATGAGAAGCCGTATCATGGAATTGTTAAATTTATTTTACTTTTGGGGTTCTGATTGTCTTTTTATTTTCTTTTATTTCACGGCCGGAACAAATATTTCCTTTGTTTGCTTCTCTAGTCATTTGCAACTTAATTATCCACTTCAGTTTGTAAGTCTTTATAGTAATGCCGCATATTTTATTTCTTTTTGCTCAAGTATAATTTTTGGAGTCATAACTACCCTACGTGAGGCTCTGCTGGAGAATCTTTAAACGGGCTAGTTCTGTTCAGTCCAAGAATTGCTATTCTAATTTAAGTCAAGGCTAATATTGTTCTTTCCTAGGTTATTAAGGCGCCCAGTTTCTCACAAATCTTGAATGGGTTAATAGAAAGCTGAAAACGGTTAAACAAACAAAGTCTGATAATAAGAACATGTATTGGAGCTTATGGAGGAGAAAGGTCTGTGCAATTGGTGGCGAACACAGTCCTCAGATGGGACTAAAAAAAATATATATTTGAAAACTGGAGTAGCAGGTAAAGAAGAAGAATGAAAGCTACCTGTAGTTTATGCTTGAACTGATGCTATGGTTTGATCAGATGTTGCTTCATCATGTTTCTTCTCTGCATTTCCCCCATATATGATGGGGAGATAATTACAGACTCCAATTCTTGTTCAGCCGAAAAGAGAACCGAGCTGGAATCACTTTTTTCATTTTCTACGTGCTGTTCTATTTCATTCTCCTCTGTCCTTCCCCCAACTTTGATTGGGGAGATCTGCAATTCTTGTTCAGCGGAAAAGAGAAATGGGCTGGAATCATATCTTTCATTTTCTTCCTGCTGTTTCATATTATTCTCAATGCCAACGAATTCCAGATTTTGTAAGATCTCTGGAAGTGAAGCACTACTATTCTCAGCAAATTTATCTTCCATTTCTTCATCAGTTTTTTCCATAGAGCTAGCAATACTTCCTGCTAAATTAGGATCCATCTTGTCCATAACCATAATTTCATCTTCCTGAACATATGCTCTGAAATTAACCATCGAGGGGGGGATTTTAGAGAAAAGGACTTCTTTCAGGTTTTTGATTGTCCCTCTGTTATATGGGTTCTCTTTCCTATCATATCGGTACCTGAAGTTCTCATATGTAGTCTGCATATGAGATAGCATGACTTGTTTAGATAATGGATATATTAACTATTAACTGCCAGGATATACTAGATTCACCATCAATCAGTCTATGAACACAATATAAATATGTTGGAAAGGTTTGTACACAAAGATTCTAAAGTTCACATTGAGATAAAGCATAGAAGACAAGGCCTCAGTGGCTTCTTTTCTTTGAATTCCAACCTATTAAACCATCTTTAGTAGCATATAAGTTAAATAGTAATCAATGCTCATTTACAGTTTGGAAGAACAATCACCTGGTTGGTGCTAATCAGATAGAAGTGGAAAACTGTAAGGCCACCGACAAACCAAAAGGTGATGAAGCAGTACACGATGAGAATAGCTGATAAAATATCACCCGACATGGCTTTCCACAATTTATCTTTCCGGCGAAGAATGTTGACAATGTTGACCCACGAGACGACAAAGACATATATGCATAAGATCGTTGATGTAGATACAAACATGTAGAAAAATCGATAATTACGCTGCAAAGATATTGCAAAAGACGCCATAGTTATTTGAGCAAAGGTCGTATGAAGTACCCATACAGGTACTATGAAATTGTTATTGAAAAAAAAAAAATGATTAGGCAATAGAAAAATAAAACAAGAACATACAGATTTACTTGACATTCAAGACGGGAAAAGAATACGAGTAGAGGAGGAAAAATCCACTATATCAAAGATAAGTACAAGAAATTGGTGTTTTGATGGCTACTCCCACAAAAGACAATGAGACCCTAAAAATTCTCATAATTTTGGTTTCATCACAGCACCGTGATCTTTTCGAATGGGCCAAACAGAATTCGAATCACATATCTAATAGAATCAAATGAGAAAATCATCTTATGTACCATGCAACAGTCTGATAATATCATCATAATGCTTAAAAACTCGACATACAGTATCTTCAAAAAGTTCTCCATTTTCCAGTGATTTATTTAAAATGCTCACAGAAACAAAAAGCGTATGACATAGATTGTGCAATCCAAAAAACGGTACACGGCCTATTTTCTGCACAAGGGACTTGATAACTTCCATGGGAAACAGAATAATCCCACCTATTCCTTGTGGGATGAGGAATCATAAACATGACGTAAGTTTACAGAAAGTTCTTATTAATTTGTGCTTTAGAAAAATGTAATTCTGAAGTCATATACATCTTCAATATTTAAATGTGCTCTATTTCAGCATCCAGATGTATTGAAATCCAATTGAAATAAAACTTCACAGGTATGGCAAAGGAAGCCGCAATATTGTAAGGTTACAGCGTAGAAATTGAAGCAGGGACATCCTATATCTGTGATTTTTAATAATAGACTCCTGATTTTTCATATTAGGAGAGTGAAAGGCATGTAATATGCTCTCCATCACAGGTCTTTATGTAAAACGAAAAAGAATGCAGGTATTTAGATACAGATGGATATTAACATTGGTACCATACAAAGAATGCATGGCAAATATTCATTCATAAGTACATAATGACGACAAATAATAGACTGTGTCTACTTAAACCATCAGTGTTTCTTTATGCATGCTAGAATACTTACTATACCAATGCATTGACCAACCCATGGACAGTGGTGATCAAATCTCTGAACACAATTGTTGCATATGGAGCAATGAGATGCACGGGGAGGACGGTACAGCAAACATGTGTCACAGTATTTCATTTTAACAGTGTGTCCATTCACAACCACATCCTTCGTCCGGGGAAGCTTCAAATGAGGAGTTCTTCCATTGACCCACTCCATTGAAGGGGTGTTAATTTCAACAGTTTCATCACATTCAGGCGGTGTTGTATTTCGAGAGATGATCCCAGGATCTCTACAGGATGTAAGAAATAGTAACAGCATATCCTGCAAGGAGAAGTCAAGAGATTGGCAGGTTATCTTAGTTGAATAAGTTGTTTTAAGAGGATCTTCTATCAAAGTTCTAGCAAGTATTCAGCAAAAATTCGAGGAAAACATTTTCTTTGTGAGCTTCAAGGCAGGAATTCAGCTATTATGGCATGTATTTTATGAGTAGACAAGATTGGATGGTCCAATTTACAGATTTTAACTTAGTTTTTCATTTTTAATATTGTACTGTCCAACTCACATGGACTACACAATTTTTTAAGTGTTGGAAAAACAGTCGTGGTCACCCATGTGTACAGGCCCAATCCTCAAGAATGGATAGGAATTCAAACATGTAACTTCCTTCAACCTTCATCAACTCCCTCCCTATATCTCCCTTAACATGTCTTACACAAAAGAGAAGATGGAATGGCTGAAAATGATGGAAAATTCGTATGTGAAAATATACCAAAAATCGGAAGGGCCTACAACCATATTTTTGTCTTGAAAACTCACAAAACTTTGCACTAAGATTGTGGATAATGGACTCCTTTCATCGTGATTGAGTTCTGGACCACTGGAGTGATCAACATGCAGATTTGGAGTGTTTTAATTTGCCAATTTTTGGAGCATGCGAAAGCAAGTGGCTCAAACATGAAGATCTTGAAGAATTCTTTCTTTACAAGTAAGCTTTCAAGAACTGAAATTAGATTATGGCATACAGTAGATTCTTTCAAAAGTAATAGTGATAAGTATTCCCGCTAACTCCCCTAGTTAAAATGCATAGGAAAAGAAGAAAGAAGTAAAAGGGAAAAAAAATACATCCTCAGAAACACCTACAATGCAATGAAATGCGCAACCACCTAAAGAATTGAATATGAACTAGACTTCCTTATAACCAATAATGAGCAAAGAAAGTAACTTCCGGAATGACAATTCATTCCCATATAGCAACTTCAAGTGTAGCATGCTCAATCACCATATTAGAATATTTGAGTCTTGAACACGATATGGAAAACACTTTTGACTTCTGCCGTGATGAATATTTACTTACCAAAACAGTTAGTACGATTCCCACTGTAAGTACTGAATACCAAGGAATAGCATCTTTGTTCTCTATGATACGTTGTCTGATAATGAGAAAGATTCTTATACAAAACGCAATCGCAGGACCTGCAACAAGGAATGTGGATAAAAACAAAGATGCTACATCTGGACCAAAGATCAATCTTCCTCCACATAAGAATTTCTGGAACATTCAAAAGAACATCAGTTTAATAAATGCTTGATATGACAAACTGTGCAATAAAAATAAATGTATTTCTATTACGAAGTACGTAAATTCAACGTCAAAAGAAACCTCAACAATAAATAAGCTATATAAAACATGCAACTGAACAGTATCCTCTCTCACTAAGAAGTAAATAATGTACACACATCCTTTGAATGAAATTGTGAATGTCTATATATAGTTTAAAAATAATATTATTCTCATTCATAGTCCTAAATATCACAATTTTTCACCATAAACAAAGTTCTAGTTCTACCATTAGATAGTAGGGGACCGGGAGGAAGGAGGAAAGATAAACCCTGAGGATCGAAGAACAATACAATAGATCAAATTTTAGTAATTTAAATTGAAGAGGACATTTTGCACTCTTTAACTTTCCAATAAATAAATGATTTCGTCTTAGTAAAATCAAAAACCACAAAAGCTATAATTGAGTAATCAGATAACATGTATTTGTGACAATCTAAGTTTAAAGCTTAGAATAAACTAGGTAATAACAACAAACATGTAGTGAACATAAATGACTGCAGCTTGATTAACATGAAAAGAAAAGGAGTGAAATGAACTAAGCATGCAAATTCACTTAATCCGACAATCTAATTTCTTTGTTCAAGATAAGTACTTATACAAGATTCAAGAAACACACTCCCCATTAAATGATCAAGCACACTAAAAATAATAAAT